CCCTCCCCCTGCCGGGCGCGTCCTCGGAGCCCCAGTCCCGGGGGCGGCGTGCGGCCGGGGAGCCCCCTTCACTGGGTGGGATCGCCCCATTCAGGTCCCCCCGACCCTCCAGCCGGGGGCGGCGCTGGGCCTAGAGCCCCCAGTCCAGGGCGGGACCCCCATCCGCTCTTTTTCCCGCGGACTCCGGGGTGTCCAGCGCTGTCAGGGCTGAAAAGACCCCTGCTCGGCCCGCCCCGCCATCCGCAGGGCGGCCTGGGGGCAGGGGGACCCCTCCCCTGCCCGGCCAACCTGGGAGCCGAGGGGAGCGGAGGCTCGGCCAGCCCGCGGGGCTTTCCTCCATCCTACCCGCTGCCGCGGATCCCGCTCAGTCGCCCCGTAACTGCCCCGCGGCGCCCCCCTTCCGAACGCTTTCCCCGGACCTGGCATCTGGGGAGGGGGCGGGGGCAACCCCCTCCCCGTGCTGCATAGCGCCCCCTCCCTGCTTGCGTGCCCGGGAGGGGCCTGGCTGACCGGGGCACCTGGGCTGGTGGGGGGGCGCTCACATGGCTACAGGAGGCCCCCACGTGCGGCGCCCCGCGGCAAAAGGGGTTCGCATTCGGAACTGGTGGCGGTGGATGGACCAGGTGGCTGCGGAGGCCAACTGGGTCCAGATGTGCCAGCTCTGCTGGGAGGGGATATATGGTACCTGGACATGTGATGGCCCCTTGGCCTCTTTGGGTTGAACCTGCTGCCTCCGATCCCTCTTCATCCCTCCATCCCTCTATCCCCCATCCTTCTTCCGTCTCCGCTCCTTCATGCTGCCTCTGTTGCAGAGAGGAGCTGTCAGACTGTTGATGTTGTGGGAAAAAATGAAATGGAGGAGGGCTTGTGGGTTGGTGAAGGCCAGTTGTGTGTGGGTTGCCCGAGGATGGTGAGCCCCGAGCCTGGAGGGCAGTGCTGGTGGGGGTCCCAGCACCCCCACCTGCCTGAAAGTAGAAATGACAGAGGGAGGGGGCTACAGTCCCAGCCTCAAGGGAGACTGGACCGCCCTGCCTCTACTTCACTGTACTTCCTCTGGGGACATTGAGAGGGTCCTGGACCTCATGCCTCTGTGCCTTCACTTGTAGGAGGGACTGTGTTTTGTGCGGGGTTGGAGGTGGTGGCAAGAGGTTGTACAGAACCAGCTCCGAATGCCTGGTGGAGGATCCCAGTAGGATTCTATCCCTCCTCTGATGGCCACCTCTCCCTTCCCTTCTCTGCTAGAGGGAACTGTGAGCTCCCCAGTCTCAGGTGGCCTGAGGGACCTGAGCCAGACTCCAGTGGGCAGCAGGACTGGGTGGGGCCACAGGGCTGGTACCCTGGCTGATGGGTGACTAGAGCATTGGGAGCCACTTCCAGGCCCCAGATTCCGAGTGTGTTCCCAGCAGTTCCTGGCTGTGCTTGCTGTGCACGTGGGGCAGGTGTATGTGCGTGTGCCTGTGCTGTGGCAGGGGTGACCAGGGCTCCGGGTCCTCCTGGAGCTGGGAAATTGCAGCTCAACTTCTGTGAACGTGTCTGGTATGTGGCATCCATGGGGCCCTCCCTCCTTCATCCCTCAGAGGCCTGGGGAGGCTGGGTTCTGTGCTGGGAATGGTGGGCAGGGCCCAGACTGAAGACAAAGTATGGGATACACAGGGCTGAGTTATGTGGGGCCTGGAGATGCATCTGGCTGATGCCAGCCTTGTGACGGAGAGGTTGGTTTGAGAGTTGTGTCCCAGGCCTGAGACTGCCTGGTCTGACAGCTGAGTTGGTGTTTTTGAAGGGAGACTGTGCCGTGCTTGGGAACTGAGGACAGAATATGTACTTTGGAGCAGAGGACTCAGTGACGTATCTAGCGTACCAGGGCACCCACTGATATCTCGTTAGGTTCCTATGCAGTGTATGGCTGATGGCTTCATAAATGCCAGTGTTTCTACATACTGAGCCATGGTGTCCAGGGGCACTTTATGTGATTGAGAGCAGATGGTCTTTACCCTCTTATACGTCTGCGATTGATGGGGGTTCATTCATTTATTTAAAAAAGCATTAAAAATTAGCATTCTCTGACTCCTGTGTATTTAAATTCTTCCATTTTAAACATTCTAAAATGTGAATTAATAAAATCTCAAATTCAGATTTTCTTTTTTTAAGAAAGCACAATAAGGGGCTGAGGTTGTGGCTCAATAGTAGAGCACTCGCCTACCACAAGCAAGCTGCTGGGTTCGATCCTCAGCACCACATAAAAATAAATAAAATAAAGGTATTGTGTCCAACTACAACTAGAGAGAGAGAGAGAAAAGAAAGCACAATAAGTGCCCAAACTCCCATGATGAAGTCCAGCCTCCTCCCCCTAGTAGCTGCTTCTTGAGCTACCTCATGACCCCCACCACCATGTCCTTTGGCTCTGGTCTCTCTGGCCTGCTTTCAGTAACTGGAACAGACCATGCTCCCTCCATCCTCAGGGCCTTTAACTATGCTAGTTAGCCTCCCTGAACACTCCCTCCCATTTGCCTGTGTAACTGCTACTCATCCACCGGGTCTCAACTTCAGCATCACTTCCAGAAGAAATTCTTCCTTGATGCCCATGCCAGATTGTGCCCCTATCGCATCTCCACAGCCCCAAGCCTCTGCCTTCACTGCCCCAGATGCATGTCTGTCTTGGATGAATCTTCGTATGGTTGATGTGGGAGGGGCAGGGTTCCACCTTCATGCCATTCCCCTGGTGTGGAGAACAAGTCTTGGCTTACTGTAGACACTTAGTCTATTTCTTTTGTTTGAATGAATGGAGGGCATGATGTGGGTCCATGTTAGGGTTGGGCAGTGGGCATGGTGGGAGACTTGACCAGGCCCAGTTGCCCATATGCTGCTTCCATGGGTTTCTGACTCCAGCAGTCTTTATACGTGCAGAGGCTTTAGGCCGGGACCTATGGGAGTTCCAGCCTGTGGCCTGTAAAATCCCAGTGTGTCTTGAGTTGTAGAAGAGGGCCAGGCGCCCAGCTCGGGCAGCCTCCATCTTCCTAGTGTGCCTGTGCCCCTTGGGTGAGGCTATAGCTCCCGTTGGTTCCTTTGCTCATGTCACCTGTCTGTCCATTCCTCCTTTCATTCACTAGGCCATGTGCTTGTTTTCTTCTCCAGTTCCTCATCTTCTGTTCCTTTGGACCAGCCGTGTTTCCTGGCCCACTCAGTGCTCAACCCTGTGCCAGGTTTGGGGACACAGAACCAAACTGGTGGGAGCCTGCTATGTCAGCTGGAGGACTCCGGGTTGTGGCAGTGGAGGGGGACTGGAGAAGGCCCCTGCTGGCTGAGAGAACCACATGGATAAAGGCAGGAAAACAGCTGAGTAGGCTTGGGGATGGTGGGGGGTCTGTGTCCTAATAAGAGGAGGAGGCCCTCCTGAGTGGTCCACAGGGGCTGGTAAGGAAAGTAGGCAGTGTGCAGTTTGGGTTGGGTTCTCACTTGGTGCCAGGACCCTGTTGCTGACTTGCTGTGTATCTTTGGATGAGGTGTGTCCTTTCTCAGCTCCCATCTTGGACCTGGTAATCTCAGAGGGACCTTCTGCCTACCACTGTCTGGAGTCTGTCACCCTGACAGTCAAGAAAGGGAGGCCTCAAGGACCCTGCTTCTTTGTGCACCTGGGGGATGGATCAGAGAGGGGGCTTGGTTTGCTTTAGAAGCTTTGGCGGGTAGTGCAAGTGTCCAGGGCTGGGGTTCACAGGGGCCTGATGAGACTCCTTATTTTATTCTAATGGATGGATGACCTGCCCATTAAGGGAATGAAGGACTAACTCAGTTGGTAGGGAGCAGCCTGTTATACAAACTCTCACGGGGCATCTTTTGTGAAAAGCTATCACTGAGGAGGGACCTCCTGGGTGTGGAGCCAAAGACAAGCCTACCTCTACTTCATCAGACTCCCTTGGTGGCCTTTGAGACTGTGTGACTAGCTTTCTTTTGTTGTGACCTATGGAAGAGGTTTGCCTATTCTTTCCTACACCTCTTGCCCCTCCACAGTCTCCTGGCAGCTACCCCAGGCCAAGACCAAAGCCTTTAGCACTCTACAGTTTGCATGACCCATTTAATCCTTGTACTTTCTAGCCATTCCGTGGGGGTAGAAATGAAAAGGGATATTATCTCCATTGACAGATCAGGAAACTGAGTCTCAGAGAGATGGATGGCTGTCTAACATCACTTAGAAACTGAGGGGTGGATCTACAGACCTGGAGGCCTGATCAGTGGACCATGGGGGGTGGCTATCATGTCAGGGTCTCTATCTTTCTGGTGGCACATCACTTCCTGAGCCAAGGAGTGGGGCCCAGATCCTTCTGTGCTGGGTTTCGCAACGCCGCCTCCTCCCCGCAGAGCTGTCTGACGTGGCCTTTTCAAAAACCCAAAATGAATGGAAGCACATTTTGTTTGGAGAATTTTGCTACACCCCTCACCAGGGCTGGTTGCAAAACCAGGCTTGGGGATC